ACTCCAGCCCAGGCGACAGAGGAAGACTGTCTCAAAAAAAAAAAAAATTAGCCAGGTGTGGTGGCGCGCACCTGCAGTCCCAGGTACTCAGGAGGCTGAGGCAGGAGAATCACTTGAACCCGGAAGGCGGAGGCTGCAGTGAGTCGAGATCACGCCACTACACTCCAGCCTAGGTGACAGAGCGAGACTCCATCTTGGGGGGAAAAAAAAAAAAAATCCTTGGAGTATTCAAAGCAATGTCTTTTTTTTGTCTTTACATATGCTAATGAATTAACCAGTGCCTGGCAGCCCTTAGGTAGCCTCAGGATGGGTGCTTGTCACTGGAAAGAAAAGGCAGGATTAGAGGGTTGGGACTTTCAGTTTATCCCCTAACCACTGAAGAAGGGAGAGGAGCTGAAAGTTAAGCTGATCATCAATGTCCAATGATGTAATCAATCATGCTATATACTGAAGCTTCCATAAATATCCAAAGGAGTGGGTTTGAAGAGCTTCCAAACAGGGGAATACTTGGCGGTTTCTGGAGGGTAACGTGCCCAGAGACGGCATAGAAGCTCTGTGCCCCTTCCCACATAACCTCACCCTATGTCTCTCTCTCTATATCCTTTGTAATATCCTTGATAATAAACTCGTAAATGTGCTTCCCTAGTTCTGTGAGTCTCTCTAGCAAGTTAATCAAACCGAAGGAGGGGGTTATGGGAATCCTGCTTTCTGGTTGGTTAGTCGGGAGCACAGGTAAAACATCCTGGGGCTTGCAATGGGCATCAGAAGTGGGGGGCAGTCTTGTGAGATTGTACCTTCAACCTGTGGGATTGGACACTATCTTCAAGTAGTATCAGAATTGAAATGAATTGGAGGACACCCAGCTGGTGTCCTCTGCAGAACTGAGTGGTTGCTGGCGGAGAGAATCCCCACACATTTCGCTGACCAGAGGTCACAGAAGTTTTCTGTGCTGCTTGTGTTGTGAGTGTATAGGAGAAACTGAGTTTTTTCCTATATCCACAGACACATACATTTCTTTGCCTAGATTTTCACAAGCCAGCTTATACCTACACATAGAAGTCTCAGTTCCCACCTACCACTACTGCTATACCTCCATAATCTTCTATGATGAATGTTCTTCACACTTTAACTTGCTGCAAAACATGATTGTTTCATAGGAAAATATGAATTTAAATAATACAGCTATCCCTGGCTTTCCCTACCAATGACTACACAGACTATGGTGTAAAATAAGGGGACAATTTAATGCTATGAAAGAAGGCTACACACATACCCTCTCCACCTCAAATTCATTAACAGTGCTAATTGCCAGAACTGCTGGGACATCAGTCCTGGCAGGGCCCCTCTGCCCCTTCTTAATCAGCCATGAGGCAGAAATATTTTCAGTACCATATAATAACCAAATGAAATCAGCAGTCAGGGGCCAAAATTCCCATCAGCCTCATCCAGACAAACCAAGGAACTGACAGGATACGATGGAAGTGAGAAGTCACCAAAGCAGGCTTAGGTTATGCTGAAAATTCCATCTGGGAATCCATTTGAAGTTTGATGATTAAATGAATGCCTCTCAGCCCTGATTTCTATTATCTAATTCTCCCATGAAGATAAGCTGTCCAAAGTAAAGGACGTAGCCCACAATATACCTTTATCAATACTCTCATACACCCCATTTCTGAAATTAATACCGGGAACTTATTAAGTGGCAAAAGGCTTGGCCAGGCGCGGTGGCTCACGCCTATAATCCCAGCACTTTGGGAGGTGGAGGTGGGCAGATCATGAGATCAGGAGATCG